AGGCAGGACTTTCCTCCTCCAGGATCGCGAGAAATGGCGTACGGAATATCCTTTGAAGCTACTCTCAGCGGCACTGTACTTTTCCTACTGGTAAGTCTTAAATCTTGTTTTTTTTTCTTTCTTTTTTTTTTTTCTCCAATTCATTTTATTATTCTTTTTCTCGTTTCGTCTCGTCTCTTTCCCCTCTCTCTTTCTCCCTCTCTCCTTCTCTTTCTCTCTCTCTCTTTCTCTCTCTCTCCTTATCTCCTTATTTGGTAAACATATTTAATGTACAAAACGAATTTTAATCTATCTGACAATTTTAAATGTAATATAAACGTGGTCGCGGGCGAACGCGTGGAAATTCTAGATACGGTTTACTTTCTAATCCGGACAAGGGCGCGAGTGACAGTTCGTTCGCCATTGTAAACATTTGCGGTACCGTATTCGTTGATAAAGATAGAGAAAATGAGAGAGAGGAAGAGAGAGAGAGAGAGAGAGAGAGAGAGAGGGAGTGTTTAAGATCTTGATTTTGTTTCGACGATTAAATTGATCGGTTAACGATCGAATAATTGAATTCTTTCGTCTGTAACTATGTTGACCTTACGATCAAACGATTTTAATGATGGACTCGTTAAAAAGTATGTCGTGTGAAAATAGAAGAGAGTAAGATAGAAAGAGAAAGAGAGAGAGAGAGAGAGAGAGAGAGGGTGGGAGGAAGGAAGGGTGGGAGAGAAAGAGAAAGGAAAAGTGGGAGAAAGATTTCGATCACCTTTTTGATTTTTATATTTATAAATAATTTCTATTATTTTTTTTCTTTCTTCTTTTTTTTACTATTTTCTTTATAACGTCATTCCATATATTTTATATATATATATATATATATATATATATATATATATTTTCCTATATTATCAAACATATCGCGCATAATAATATTCATTTATTAATCTATCGTTAAATTTTTTCAATAATTTTTTCGAACTATCAATAATATATATTTCGATTTCTGGATCGTTGATCCAGAACGATCATTTCATGAATAAATATTTTCCATATTTAGAGTGGTGCAAGCAAGCGCTCGCGAGTCAAGGATACCAACGTTATCTCTTATTCGTTGTAGTTTCATAGACTTCAATAGACGTTCTCGTACTGGTCCCATACTACTTCACACTTATATATGTGTCTATATATATGTATATACGGATACACGTAAAAGTAGAAAGAAAGAGTGAGAGAGTGAGAGAGTGAGAATGAGAATGAGAAAGAGAGAGACGATGCAAAGTCGACGAGCGCGCTACTTTCGTTATGCAAGCGAAGAACGTTAACTTACGTCGCTTCACATCGGAGAATTACACTTTGGCGTCTTTAACTTATGCAACCGTGGAATTATCACGGGAAAGCGATCCGCGGGGGATAAATCGCGTTCGAGATGAAATTATCTCGTTTTCAGGAAGAATTGAGCTCGAACTCGTTTCGAATTATTTCGCTTCCGTGATTTGTCAAAAAGGAAAAAGACCAAACAAAAAAAAAAAAAAAAGAAAAAGAAAAAAAATGAAGAGGAAAGAATGCAACAAAATGCAGTTGCATTCGTTGCGCCGTTTATAATTTTTTTTTTTTTTTTTTTTTTTTTTTTTTTATGTATATCTGTACCTTTTTGTTCCTTTTCTTTCTTTCTCTTTTTTTTTTTTTTTCCTTTTTTTCTTTTTTTCTTTTTTCTTTTTTCTTTTCTTACATTGATACTCAATAATGGTGTATAATAATTTTCTCATTTTTCTTAACATACATATACATTTATTGCACATATACATATACATTATTGATGAACGTAATTAAATTAATGTATAGTACGTACTGCATGCACTTTTTCATTAATTAAACGTATTAGATATTATTCTTTATATCGAGAATTTATAAATTAATTTAAGACATTATTACTTTTATTACATTATTTAATAATATCAAATAATTATTTTATTATCGACATTTAATCAATATATCATTGGATAAGATTTTTTACTTTCTCTTAAAGACTTATCCGGATAGATGTTTATATATTTTTACAACGTTTCAACACTGTGTCACATTATTATTTGTTAATGTTAAATAATATAATTATCGATTGTCATTTAATCGTCGAATGTAATATCGTCGATATTTGACAAAGGTAAACTTTCAAAAATTAATAACAATTATAATAATTCATTTAAGAGATCTATAGGAATAGATTATAATATAATTATGAGCGAGCATTGACCTTTGAATTTTGTTGACGAACGAATCAATGTCATCAAGACATATTGTCGTTGTCTGATTATGGATCAAAGAAAGAAAGAAAGAAAGAAAAAAAAAAGAAGAAAGAAAAAAGAAAAAAAGAGAAGAAAGAAAAAAGAAAGATGAAACGAAAAAATAAATAAATAAGTCAATGAAAAATATTTACTTTACGGATATGTAGATATGTTAAATACTATCGTACGAGGAGATCAACGAGGAGGGACGACGATCGCATGCGGGCTAAAGA